TTCCATCCCTAAAATAAATATATATATATATATATATATATATATATAAAACCTTATGATCATTTAATCCACACTACATAAATGGAAGTTGGAAGTTTTCTAAATGCATTAAGATGTTTGTGCTTAATCTGCCAGGTCCGACTCTTGGAGCTTCCTGTCTCAGGGTGATGCTGGAAAGCACCTTGCAAGAGAAAGCTTGGGTCACATGAACTTGACCGACTGGAAGAAATACTCAGGTACCCAGAAGATACAGATACCCGGTCTTGCCCCAGAATTTTTAACCTCTAGTTCCTATTTCATTGAATTCAGTTTAATTATATAGCGCCATTTTACAACACGTCATCTTAAAGCACTTTACGATTTAAGCAGATCATACAGTCAGATTGATTCAAAGTTTTCTAAGAAACACCAGCTGATTACATCGACTCATTGACTCGAATGCAATCCCTCACACTAAGCATGCTTGTAGCGACAGTGGAGAGGAAAAACTCTTATCTACACAGGAAGAAACCCCATCAGAAGCTTTTTGCAAATGCAACAGTAAGACTGGCAAAGTAAAAACATAGCGGTGTTGATTTTTGGTTGCAGGCTCTGTTTCAACTTCAGATGATGAACCGACACCTTCTGATGATGACGATGATGGACGTCCAATTAACAAAGACCAGCCTCATCTGCGATTTGAGATTACCAGCGATGATGGTTTCAGCGTGGAGGCAGACAGTGTTGAGGGTAAGCCTGATATTGGATTTTCTTTTCTGGTCCCTCCCCAGTTGTAATTTATATTCCCTGGACCCCTGGATCCTTTTTTTAACAGTAGACTTTTATTTTGTTTTAATATGTTTTGAGTTACTGTCCTCTTGGAAGAACATCAGATAACCCTTTTTTCTTTGATTTTTTTGGTTTCCATCACTTGGTCCTAATAAGGACTCCTAGAGTGTTTACTAGAGAATCAGTCCAATAACATTACTCACACGATATTGTTTATATGCTTTGGTCATGAGGGGCTTTTCCATGAAATTCTTTATTTGTCTTGTTCTAAATCACAGTAAATGTTGTTCTTGTAATAAAACTTCACTACAGTGTCTGAGCAGAGCAGATGTTCCCAGTTAAAGCCGTCTGCATCAGATAAACAGCTGCATGTTATGCTCATGTAGAAGAGAAACGGCTGTTTTTCATGCTGCTCCATTTAAAACAAATGAATAACTTAGTATGGAGGCTTTAGGTTTTCCAAACCTCTTAAGCATAGAGGACTACAAAGCTCTGTCTATTCCTCTATATATTATATGTTTGGGGTTGTTTTTTTTTTCGTTTTTTTATCATACTCTAATGGTCTTTTTTTTCCTTCCCTATTAGTGGCCTGGAAAGCAGTAATTGATGGTGTGCAGGAAGCCAGAGCGATCACAAGGCTCAGGCCTCTGGCTTTTCAGAAGATCACTGGCCCTCGTATGGTGGGACTGATCCACGATGCGGTGGTGTTTTTGCTGGAGCAGCTTGAGGGGGCTCCCCGCTGTCAGCGTCATTCTTTCCGTTTCTTCAAACAGTTTAGCCAAGAAGAGGACTTGCCCGTGAATCCTACCGGCTGTGCCCGCTCTGAGCTTTATGTTAGGTATGAACCGTCCATCTATAATTCGATCAACGTTCTTTGTTAACCTTCGACTCAAAACTATCAAAGCAAGTCATTTCTCCTTTAGGCATAAAGTGGCTTAAAAAGAAAAAAATAAGTGTTTCTAACAGTATGGGAAAGACATTTCTATTTGAAATAAGTCACATTGAAATCATGATTTCTGATTCATCCGAGCAGCATTACTCATCAAAGTGAAACAGCCTGTTGTTTCAAACTATGTTGTAATTTTCTGCAGAAAGACCTGCATGTGACGAACAGTTGTTTTCCTAACAGGCTCACCATGTTAACAAAGGTGACTTTTTATTATTTTTTTTATTCCTCCATGTTTTTACAGGAAGTCCACTTTCGACATGTTCAACTTTCTGGCCTCTCAGCACAGACAGCTTCCTGACATCGGTCCATATGATGATGAGGAAGATGATGTTCTTCTGAAGTCCACACGGTCAGGCCTTACCGTTAAATTTTCCCTTTTATTTTTCCTTCAAGGAAATTTTATACCTGCAGAAATTAAATTTGTTTTTCAAATATTTCTCCTTTTAACGATCATTTGATGCTTGCATTTCCTAGAACCCAAAAGGAAATGTTTATCTGTAAAACTATGTTTTGATTCTGGCTGACTCTCAAGAATGAGGACACTTTATTTTATTTTATTTATTTATTTTACATGTTTGATTTGGGTCTTGAAATGTATAATGTTCAAAGGGTTCAGTGTTATTATTGATTTTGCTGATGTCAAAGTGATACTGTTCACTATACATGACAACATGACTCAATAACAAGATAAATAATTGGGAACTTTCCTTTTATATAAAGCCACCATTGTGTTATAAAAAAAAAAACATTTCTCTCCAACGCTGAACCCAATTTCCAGACTCCTTTTTGGTCTAAACCTCACAATCGAAAATAATCAAGAGAAAATTGGCTCAGTTTATTTTCTGGCTGATTGCTTCCACGTTTTATAAAAGCAAGGCGGACAGAGCAGAGAGGTAAACATATGGAGTTATTTCATCTGTTTTGCTCTCTCCCTCAGACGGGCTACCAGCTTGGAGCTGCCGATGGCCATGCGTTTCAGACACCTGGAACGGACCTCCAAGGAGGCAGTTGGAGTCTACAGGTCAGCTACGTTTCTGTAAACACCACCTGTATTTACATGAAGGATATAGTATTGTGAGCTTTGCTGTTTGCAATAAAAGGTGCTCTCCAGGATAGAGGAAACACACTGCTAATTTAAGGTTAGACTGATTTGAGGTAACACCTGCCAACTTGTTTTTAACGAAACCAGATCCTTTTCTATAAAAAATAATAAAAACAACTGTATTCAGATGCTCACAACTGAATTCAAAGGTCAGATTATTGGTAGTTCCTCCATTTAAATCAGATAATAATGACAATGTTGGGTTTAAAGTTTGCTATCAGTTAGGTAATCCTTTGTAAGTAGAATATGGGGGCTATCAGGACTGCATTAAACCAGTAAAATTTGCTGATCATTCCAGTAGATGTCCTGTACAGCAAAGACTTTTTTTTTTTTTTTGCTTTGTTGTTCTTACTTGTTGTTTTTAGTTCATCGTGTCTATGTTTTTTGTTTATTTTATCTTTGATTTACCAACAAAAAAACTATTCAAACTATTCTAATAAAGAAATAACAGTGACAAAATAAGCAATGCTTTATCAAAGCAGACATTCACTATACTTTGTAGAAATAATACTGAATGCAATTATTTAAATAAAATCAAATATACCTGCATTACATAAACAAAGGAACAGAAGGATCCCAAATGTCGATGTATCAAAGACATGTCGCATTAAAGTTGAGAAGAAAGCAATTAACAACACTATTCATTTTACATTTAATATAAAAACTATTCCTACCCCTGGCTATCCTATATTCAAACCTGCCACATTTCATCTGCTTTCAGTCGACCAGGTGGTTTCCCTGCTTATTCAGACCCTTGCTTCTGGTTTAAATCAACTCTGATCCAAACAAAAAAAAATGTTTTGAGGCGACTTCCAAACAGACTGGTCTCTATCCAGCCCACATGCAGAAAGAATACGCCCCTGTGGATTTAGCAAAGCTCTAAAATGGGAATTTATAGAAATTCTGACTGTTCCTGTTTGTTTCTTAGCAACCCTGCCACCATAAAGCATTAGATCTGCGTCAGTTTGAAGGATGTAATCTCCAAAACTGTCAACAGATTTTAAAATAAGAGTCTCGAGATCTACAGATCTACGAGATATTTTTTAAAGCTGAAATAAAAGCATACATATTCATAACAGAAGTGCTTCATGCAAGACTCCTGTAGCATTTTAATTAAAACGCATAACAATAATTA